CAAGTTATTATACAGTACAATTATGGGTACAAATTGGTTAACAACTGTCCTTTTTGTGTCTAATTCCGTGCGAATCCTTTATTAGCATTATTTTGTCCACAATTTTCCCATTCTATGCATTCATATGGTATAAAAATTGCATAAAAATTAATTCACATTAAATCATTAAACAAGCACCTATAACACGCACCTGATCATCAGATACCTGTTCCAGTGACAGGTGCGAGGCATTTATTATATGAAGTCTAGTGTATCCATAGTCTGATATACGGACTGCACTCCATTCGGGAGGGTTTTTCACAAACGAGTCGTGCCTTTCATTACATCCCTGTCCACACAAAACACATGAATACTTAAAATGAATAAACATTGATATTAATTACGGCTGAGCCGGTGATTATATGGACGGGCGCTGTGGGGTTGGTATACGGGTGCGATTGGGAGCCGTTACGGACAGTTAGGTTATATAAGGGCCACATTCGCTCGTAGACGTGCTCGTGGGCCCACACCTCTAAGTCCACCCCCGACTCGTAAAACAAGTCCTCCAAACCCAATGTGTGCACAATTGGCAGCCCTTTCCTGATCTGAAATTAATGAACACATTGAGTATCCAGGTAAAAATAAAATAGTCATATAAAAACTTACAATACTTTGTTTGTGAGTGCAATCATCCCTTAAAACACAAAAGTTTTAGAGAATAAGTTTAGTTTTGAAAAGTTATATTCTGATAATTAGTAACTAGGTAAAAGATTTGTTAATTAATTTATAAACCTGTCATCAGTGCTACAATACATAGGCCGGTGGCCTAACGTTATGATCCACGGCCTCAACGCCCGGTTCTCTGGTTTATTGGCCTCTTTGAGATCATTGATGAGCCAATAGTATTGGTATAACAACTGTTTCCATCCGTATTGCAGAAAGTAATAGAATTCTGTGGAGAATGAGATGACATGTGCCGGTCCTATGTTGAGGCTGTAGTAGTGGTTATTCATGAGACCACTCCCGCTGTTAACCATTGAAAACCGATTGTCATAATTGGAGAAATTGCTGCGAAAAAGAGATTATTTTTAATAATTGTATAATAATATTGATTACAAGTGTACTCACTATTTGTATTCATGATTACCCGGACACACCTGATAGGGAACATAGGCTGCAATGGACTCGATTTGTCTCATGAATTCATCGCCGACTCTCGCGTTATCCTTAAGATAAATATTTACCACTTATTAAGGATTTTATAATAATTAATTACAACTTACAGAATCCATATCATAGGCAAAGTCACCTGAAAATACAAAATTATTTTATTAACTCTGAAATAATTAAATAAATAACAAATTATTTTGTGAACCGATGTGGAAGACGGTGTCATAGAGTCCTCTCTGGACCTCCTCTTGTAATCTGGGGATCGACTGCGCGTTTTCATTACCCAAATCACCAAAAATGGCGATTCTTGGGCTCCAATCGCTGTCATTCCTCATAGCCGTGAACCTAAACATAGGACTCCAGCCATCAGTACTTCCGCAGTGATAGACTGAATGCAGATATTTGTGGTGATAGTTCAATGATCAACACGTGGTGGACATACTGTAAGCGGTTCCCGGTGTGAGTCGTGTCAACACAACTCTATGGATATAAAGGATTCGCTTCTCATTCCCTCCATCAGTGAATTGAGTACTGAATCCAGTCATGGATTGAGACAATGATTTGGTCCCAAACTCGACGGTCGATGCATTGGTGGCGTTGAATGTGGTCCATGTGATCACCATTTGTGTCGAATCGGCTTTCCATACATGAAATTATTGTATTTAATTATATTTAATGTTTAGACAACTTTTACACTTACCTCCATAAGATAGATGAACTTGCTCAGGTTGAGTTAATACAATTCCGTGTGCATACAATATTTCACATATAAAAATCACTAAAATTATTAATTTTGTAAACATTTTTAATTGAATTTAAATGTGACTTAAGTGAGGGCTGCCTTAAAGTAAAATAAACACAAATATTTGTTTCATATATTTTTGATTGTGACTTATTATCGTTGTGTTTATTTTTCTAAAGTTTATCACAGATTCACATGTCTTTTAAACAAATAATTTGACATTAGATCTATCATACATTTACATTGCTGTTTTTATACCCAGTAATGTTTATCAAATACTGTACTGTATTCAAGTTTTAAGTTTAATTTTATCACATATCCATAATTAAGTTAGTAAAATGTGTATATGTTTTGTAACTAGTATTATATTAATATTAATAAACAAACTTTCATATTTAATTTATACAATTATTATTCAATTTCATGAATACAGTACTAGTAAAACAAATAAAGTTATGAATTATTCAACGATTGATACATTATTCTGATAACATTTATCACTAATAACTTTTGATAACTTTTAACACTGAAAAGTCATTAAATTTTATCATATTAGTGATTTTCTGTTTAAATTCAATAATAATAACAACTGTCTAAACATAACACAATTAGCTAGTTAATTAATTAAACACAAACTGATTCCCCATCAAAAAACACTTGCGATCAAAATGTTTCAATACATAAATTGTTATGAATAGAAATGCTAATAAAATACTTTTATTTTTATACATCTATTATATTCTCCATATAATAGACAATTGTTATATCCTGCCGGGGATTATACATCTTTGTACTCCATTTCCTATTCATTCAATTATTTGTCATTAATTTTGATTAAGTATACAAAACTTAATAATGTTTTCAAAACAATTTTATTAAAACCGAAATATTGACTCAATTCTCGTTATAAAATAATTTAATAGTCGGAAGGGATTTAATAACACATTATTTGGTAATGAATTACTTTGTGGGCTATTAGTTGGATGTCTTCCCAATGGATTTGTATTTATCGGAGGGTTTCCTGAATTTAAAACATAAAATAATTTGCCGGAAATGAGTGTCAGTTAAGTTTAGCAACAATTTTCATACGCTTATAAATACTTATGTTTTTGGGAGGCACTGTGTTAGTGGACAGGGGTCTGTATCGCTCGCCAATCGTCTCATTATAACCAAACAGATTATAATTGGTTTGATTACAGGGAGGCCTCAAGTCGAGCACAAACTGGCAAATATAGTACATCTCGGTATCGCACGGGTAGTCATCCCATTGGCCCAAAAACTTGTAATCATCGATAACCATATAAACGCAGTCCTCGTTGTTGTCGTGATCGTTAGGCTGTCCCTTATGCCAGCGGTTATAGTCTTTAATACCGCAACCGCTTCGGTACTGAAAGTCTTTGAGTCCACCGAATGGTACCCTCTTTGGTCCGATCCATAGCTGAGGCTTATTGTGGTTATAGATGTCGTCATTGAAGTCATTTTGAATGTGAGAATTGGGACGTTTACTCTCTTTGTAAAACAAACTTTTTGAAATCTTTGAATACCTTTCAACAAAAAAAGCCACTGTTTGGCAATCACAGCCGGTTGCGCAATTTTTGGTAGGTTAAGAGCAGCTCACTCACCATCTCCATTAAGTCAAATCCTCGGCCAAACTGTTGGCACCGTCTCTGGCCTTCATTTCTGGTCACCATTTCATAGAAAGGTTTAATACATTTGGTTTGCATTCCCTTTACGAGAGGGTTCGAGGAGTTTATGTGGTATTCCGTCCAAAAACGCGGACATACTTTGATTCAAAAGTGACAGAAATTTAGATAAATTGTCATCAATACAAAACTAGCATCAAGTTCAATTTACCAATCTCTGTGGAAATTGTAGAGAAATGAATGATCAAAATTGTCAATAAAATCATTTTTCTAAACTTTGTAAAACTAAGTTTATACTTTGAATGAGTTTTAGTGCTTTCATTATAATTAGTACACTAGTTATTTTACAAATAGATTAATCATTTATAAAATCTGATTGGAAAGTCACCTTATAATAAATAATTAAATTTAGGAAAATACATGGACATACAAAACATGACATATGTCATTTCAATCTTTATGACATGTCATCTTAAACGTTATTTTGTATGACATGATTGTTCAGTCCTGAGCTAGAAGTGTTCACTTTTCCCATTAACAATAAATGTTATTCATTTTAGCCATTTATGGGTTAAAAAGTGTGTTATTAAAAATATGGTTTACTACAGGCTAAATGACAAAAGTTTAGCCTATANAAAAAGTGTGTTATTAAAAATATGGTTTACTACAGGCTAAATGACAAAAGTTTAGCCTATAAATGACTAAAAAGAGTAACATTTATTGTTAATGGGAAAAGTGAACACTTCTAGCTCAGGACTGACTAACAAGTAAGCTATAATAAATAATAAATAACGGAATAGTATTTGTTATCAATTAAATTCTGTAACATTTTAACTAATAACTGCATAAAACACATTTAGTGCACCTAGACTTGGACTCTGCTCCTATAATTCACTTACCACTTGTGATTAACCAACTTTTAATTACAAATTCCTTAACATATTAATATTTTAAACTGTTTTGAATCTTTCAAGCTAAAAGTTTTAGCCCATTACAATATAAACCAGTCCCACCCTGACATTAACACTGTTTTAATAACTTAAATAACTTGTCGGTCATTATATTAATTAATTTTTCAATTTATCATTAGATATTTCTCATTTATATCGATAACAAACTTATTAATTAATATTATTCTCTGGCGATTTTTATTTTAAAACTAATTAAAATACAAAAGTTTAAATGCGAAACAATTAATATAATTAAATTTTGCAATGCAAAACATCTGTAGTCACAGCCTATGGCGTGACATAGGCTACTTATGAAACATCACAATTTAATTTTGTTTTAAAATGCATTTAACGATAATGTGGCAAAATTATTGGTATTATAAAATGGATTTACAAAATTGGTGGCCTATTTGTGTGTCCATTTCCATGATTGTGTCACTCTATTGGTAAATACAGTTGAAAAATGTTTTTTTTCTTTAATCATAGAGTATATGGTGTGTCAAAACAAACAGGTACTTCACCCGAAACTTTGGCTACTGGCGAAAAATGGGTGTAATAGGTCCTAGACCGTATGTTTGGGCCGGGAACATGATAATGCTAATTTATAAGCCGTTCCCAATCTTGGAAATGGAGTTAGCGAACAAATACGGCAAAATATATGGGTATTTAAGAAAACTAATTAAAATTATTTCCTTGATAAGCACCTCTAATACATTGGCATTCAAAATGACAGTACTTTTTGCGGGAACATACCGGTGCTCACCGTAAACGACCCGAAGCTCATCAAACAAATACTGATCAAAGACTTCCACGTCTTCTCCAATCGCCGGAAATTCAATACCAAACACGATATACTCGACCACAACGTCCTGTACGCCAGGGACGACGACTGGAAGCGGTTGCGCTCCATATCCTCGTCCGTCTTCTCCAACGTGAAGCTCAAGAAGGTCTACCCGTTGCTCATGGAGTGTATCGACGATTTCGTGGACGTGTTGCGAGATTTCGCCAAAAACGGCGAAGACATCGATCTGAAGGAACTGAGCGGTAATCTGTCGATGGATGTGATCGCGAAGTGCGCGTTCGCCACGAGAATCAACGCCTACACCGACGCGAACAACCCGTTCATCACGAACGCCAAGAATATCTTCCACCCGAATATCTTCAAGATAGGGGCCGGCCTTATGATGCCGGAGCGGTTGCTCAAGTTCCTCAACATTACCTCCATTTTCGACGAGACCTCCAACGAGTTCTTCTTCAGCATCAGCCGCGAGTTAGTGACGAATCGGAGGATCCATAAGAAGGCGTACAAGGATTTCCTGCAGCTGTTGATCGACAGCGAGGACACGGACGCCAAACACGAAGACGGCGCTCAAAATGCAAGTAAAAACACATTTCACTTGATTTGCCGCAAGTTTTAGTCATACTTTTCTAGTAAATCAAACGATAATCGTCTTAATTATAGTCTACAATAATCGCAGATTTGGCTAAAGAGGCGCCAAATCAGACCGAATCCAAGACTAAGGCGCGTCTGACGGAGAATGAGATCATATCGCAGTCGTGGCTATTCTTGTTGGCCGGCTATGAGACCGCCTCCACGGCCATCGCCTTCTGCTTCTACGAGTTGGCCCTCAACCCGGACATCCAGGAAAGGGTGTACGACGAGATACAGGAAGCCATGGGACCGGACGGACAGTTCGACTACGACACCCTCTGCGCGCTGCCATACCTGGACGCCGTCATCTCCGAGAGCCTGCGTCTGTACCCGCCGTTCACGCGCGTCGAGCGCGAAGTCAAGTGCGACTACCAGTTGGCCGACACGGACATCACGCTAAAGACCGGCGATTTGGTGCACATCTCCATCTACGCCGTCCACCACAACGAGGAGTACTTCCCGAACGCCAATCAGTTCATACCGGAGCGCTTCCTGCCCGAGAATCGGCACCAAATCACTCCCTACACGTATATACCGTTCGCTGTGGGCCCCAGAAATTGCGTGGGACTTAGGCTGGCGCTCATGGAGATGAAGGTGTCGGTGGCCAACGTGATCAACCAACAGTCCTGAGCTAGAAGTGTTCACTTTTCCCATTAACAATAAATGTTATTCATTTTAGCCATTTATGGGTTAAAAAGTGTGTTATTAAAAATATGGTTTACTACAGGCTAAATGACAAAAGTTTAGCCTATAAATGACTAAAAAGAGTAACATTTATTGTTAATGGGAAAAGTGAACACTTCTAGCTCAGGACTGACT